GAGCCTGGGAGTGCTACGCCTGGGGGTGCTACGCCTGGAGGTGCTGAGCCTGGGGGTGCGGAGCCTGAGGGAGCTGGGCCTGCTTGTGTGGCGTCTAGCGGTGCTGAGCCTGGAGGTTCTCCGGGTGCTTCGTCTCGACGGGAGGCACTCTCTCCACAGGAGCTGCGCGAGTGGTTTGCCCGGCGCTGGAGGCGTGCTGCTGGAGCTGGAGGTTCTTCGGCTGCTGAGGGTGCTGGTGCCGCGGGTCCCGGAGGTGCTCGTACTGGGAGTACTGGAGCTGCTGGGCCTGCGGGTACGACTGGAGCTGGAGCTGCTGAGGGTGTTGGCGCTGAGGCTACTGCTGTCGGTCCTGGAGGCGGTCCTGCTGGGGGTGCTGGAGCTGGAGGTACTGCTGGCGCTGGTGCTGCCGCTGGGGGTACTGGTGCTGTCCCTGCTGTGTCTGGAGTCGCCACACGGCCTCGGCCGTACTTCGTTCCGCTCCTTCAGCAGGTTCTTGGTCTCCCGCCTTCTACTGGTCCTCCTCCTCCCTTAGAGTGTCCACAGCCTGTCCCGTCACAGTTACAGTTACAGCCGGCCTCCCCACTGCCCGCTCCTTCTCCCTACACTGGTCCTACTGGAGGTCTTGCTGAGCGTCGTGAGCCTGCGTCTCGCCCTGCGTCGCCTGTCCGTGCCTCTCGCACTAGTGGTCGTGGTTCGCGTCAGCGTCCTCCTCCTGTCCCTGGCACGCACCGGATGTCTCTGCGTCCGTCCACTGCTCCTCTGCGTGCCCCTTTGCCTTCTCCTCCTGAGTCCTCTCTTCCTGCTCTTCCTGACCCGGAGTCGGACTCTCTTCGTGCTGCCAGTCCTACTGTCACGCGTCTCCTTGCTACTGTTGTCACTGACCCTTCCTTTGAGTCCACTGCTGCGTCTGCCCTAGTTACTGAGCTCGTCGACTTTGCTGCTCGCTGTCGTCTAGACTACGCTGCTAGTCTTGTTGCTGAGTCTGAGTCTGTCTGTCCTCCGTCCGTCGGGGGTGAGTGTGCCCTTGGCACGGACGTCCTTGAGGACAGGCAGGAGGAGTTCCAGTGTTTGGCTGCTGCTTCACCTCATCTCGTGTCCGTACTGCTTACCCCTGAGGGAGACCCGGATGCACTTGACATCCCGACTCCGCGCTCTTACGCGGAGGCGATAGAGGGTCCCTACTCCTCTCAGTGGCAGGCAGCTATGGACGCAGAGATGGCTTCCTGGAAGTCCACAGGCACCTACGTTGACGAGGTTCCCCCGCCTGGGGCGAACATCGTCAGTGGCATGTGGATTTTCAGGGTGAAGCGGCCGCCGGGTTCTCCGCCTGTCTTCAAGGCGCGTTACGTGGCTCGTGGCTTCAGTCAGCGGCAGGGAGTTGACTACTTTCAGACCTTCTCTCCCACCCCGAAGATGACCACTCTTCGGGTACTGCTGCACATAGCTGCTCACCGCGACTACGAGCTGCACTCTCTTGACTTCAGCACTGCTTTCTTGCAGGGCAGCCTGCACGAGGAGATCTGGCTGCGTCGCCCACCTGGCTTCACTGGGTCTTTTCCTCCTGGCACCCAGTGGAGCCTCCGGCGGCCAGTCTACGGTCTCCGCCAGGCACCGCGTGAGTGGCACGACACACTGAGGACTACACTTGCGGCTCTTGGGTTTGCTCCCTCTACTGCCGACCCGTCGCTGTTTCTGCGCACCGACACTTCTTTGCAGCCGTTCTACATCCTCGTGTACGTCGACGACTTGGTCTTTGCCACAGCTGACACTGCTGGACTCGCCCACGTGAAGTCCGAGCTGCAGAAGAGACACACGTGCACAGACCTGGGTGAACTGCGCAGCTACCTTGGCTTGCAGATCACCCGGGACAGAGCACGCCGCACCATTACCCTGACTCAGTCACACATGGTGCAGCAGGTCCTTCAGCGCTTCGGCTTCACGTACTCCTCGCCTCAGGCCACTCCTCTGCCTACTCGCCACTCGCTCTCAGCTCTGCCTTCGGATGAGTCCGTAGAGTCGAGTGGCCCGTACCCAGAGCTTGTTGGCTGCCTCATGTACCTGATGACCTGCACACGACCTGACCTTGCATACTCTCTTAGTATTCTTGCACGCTATGTTGCTCCTGGGAGACACAGACCGGAGCACATGGGTGCAGCGAAGAGGGTGTTGCGCTACTTGTGCAGTACATCGGGCATGGGGCTTGTGCTTGGAGGGCAGAGTCCAGTGGTCCTCACTGGACACGCAGACGCTTCTTGGGCTGACGACCAGGCTACGCAGCGGTCGTCACAGGGTTACACCTTCAGCCTTGGTTCCGGCTCTGTTTCGTGGCGGGCTACTCGCTCGTCTTCTGTTCTCGGCTCCAGTTGCGAGGCTGAGATCTACGCCGGGGCCATGGCTGCACAGGAGCTTCGCTGGCTCACCTACCTGCTGACTGACCTCGGAGAGCCGCCTCGTTCTCCTCCAGTGCTCTACGTAGACAACAAGGCCATGCTGGCCTTGTGTCGAGAGCAGAGACTGGAGCACAGAACGAAGCACATTGCTCTTCGCTACTTCCTTGCTCGTGAGCTACAGCAGCGTGGTCAGCTGCGACTTGCGTACGTGGCCTCTGAGGCCAACACTGCTGATATCTTCACCAAGGCACTTGCGCCTTGTGATCATCAGCGCTTCTGTACTCAGCTGGGTCTTGTGCCTACCTTGCCTCACTTGCTCACCTCTTGACCTTGTTTGTACTGTTGCATATATATATACTCCTGCTCTTGCTTGTTTAGCCTTATATATATATGTAATCCTGCATGTGAACTGGCCTTGTGGCCTTGAACTTGTGCTCGGAATGTGTGGTGACTTTGTGATCCACCCTGAGCTTGCTTTGCTTTGCTTGACTGGTCTTGTGACCCCTTGTTCTCCCCCACTTTGCCTATGGGGGTGTGTCAGAGTTATTTGACATAGTTACTGTAGGCTATAGTGGGGTAGCACATATGGGGTACAGTTTCCTAGGGTTTGCCTTTTGTACCCAACTTTCACTTAGTCATTTCATTCCTGTTTTCTTGATTCACACATTCTCCTCGTCTCCTACGTCGACGACCTTCTCTACACTGGCGACGACACGGAAGTACTCGATCGCTTCGAAGAAGAGATCAAGAAAAACCTGGAAGGGACAATCAATCACAACGTCACGCAATTCCTGGGTTTCAATGTCACCCAGTCCGCCACCTCTATCCACCTCTCCACCGCCAAGTACGCGGAAACTCTCGCGAAGAAATTCGCGATCGCACCGATCAACCTAACCACCCCCTTCTGCACGCCTCCTCCTAATCATGAGCCCAACACCACACCACTCTCCATCGACGATCATCGTCTCTACCAACAGCAACTCGGGTGCCTCCTGTTCGCCGCCGTCACGTGCAGGTTGGATCTCTCCTACGCCGCAAGCCAGCTTGTATAGTACTTGCGTCGACCTGAAGAGGAGAACATGCTAGACCTACGCCGAGCACTTCAATATTTCATCTCTACTCCTGGCGTCGGACTCACCTACACAGCCAACCTAACAGCTACTCTTCAGCTACGCGCCTATGTGGATGCTGACCATGCGGGAGATGTTAACAACAGACGCTCCCGCACAGGCTTTGTTTTTCAGCTCGAGCCTGCTGGACTCATCTCCTGGAATTCCTAGAAGCAGGAGCTCATCTCTCTTTCGTAAGCTGAAGCTGAATTCATCGCCGCCAGCGCAGCTGTTCGCGAAAGGTTGTACCTGATGGAGCTCCTATAGGAAGCGAAAATGATGATGAACAGGCACTTCATGTTACTCTGCAACAACCAAAGAGCGATAATGATCTCGAACAAACCCGGCTTTGTGAATCGCACGAAGCACATCGCACTCCGTTACTTTTTCGTGAAGGACGAGATCGACAAAGGGAAAGTCAAACTCACCTATTGCCCGACTGGTGACATGGCAGCGGATTTTATGACGAAGAAGCTGCCACGTCAAAAGTTTCAGCACTACGTCAACCTCTACGCGATCTCGAAGAAATCCCACGTGGCTCATAACAAAGCAGCGCAACTGTACCAGTACTGCGCTAGCTCATATAGAGCACGCGAAGGTCAACAGTCACGAGAAGGTCAACAGTCGTGGGAGGTCAATAGTTGTGACTGTTGACCACCCCGCAACAGTCGCCAGAGGGTACACGCTGCAACCCAGTAACTGTCGAGGATAGCAATAGTCGCAATTACTGTAGCATTGCAAAGCAGTTAATAAGGGAATGTACCCCTCAGAGTACATGGCTAGCTAGGAATGCTATTTAAACCTTTTGTAATTCTATCTTCAATCATCTTGTTCTCTCTCAATTATTATTAAAAAGGTCATTACAAGACTTCACTGTCTTCCTCACAACTTGGCTAGCCTTATCCTATCCACTACGATTCTTGGTTATACCAACACTGGTGTTGTCACAAATTTTTTGTCAAAGTCGCAACCATTCTGGTCATACGATGAGCGACAGAGTTTAGTTTCACCTGTACGCCAGCATGGCGACATTCTTGCGCGCGACCCGACTCACCCACTCACCCCATCTCTCACCCACTCACCCCATCTATCACCTACTCACCCCATCTCTCACCCACTCACCCTATCTCTCTCCCAATCAACCTATCCTCCTCCTCCCGTCTTTCACCCTGCAGTGCAGCTCTCATTGGTGCGCCCTTGTACCGTCTCTTTTGTCCCCTATTCAAAATATTTTTTTGCCTTCGAAACAACTTATTTATTCACGTCACTCTTCTTCTTGAGTCTTCGAAACAGCTAAATTATTCTCATTTCACTTGTCCGTATCTCCAAGTTCCAACGTGCTTGCCACATAGCTTTCCCCCTTTTTTATATACTCTCCAGTTTCCCAATTGCAAAATTTCTTTGCACTTTTCCCTCTTCCGCTTGTGCCATGTTCTCCCACTGCGTTTCCACCCACACACCCTCACACTCCTTCACACTCCACCTGGAGCTCACGAGTGGTATGGTGATTGCATCATTGCAGTGCCAGTGCCCTGGGTGCACGCAGCAGCAGAGGCAGAAGAAGCTGCCAGGAACCAAGGCTATCCTTCTCTTACGGTTGCTGCCCTCTCCCTCTCCCTCTCCAGACACAAACCACCGCATGCAGCTTTCAAGTGGCATGGTGATCGCTGTGCCAGTGCCCCATGGGCAGGCAGCAGAGGCAGAGGAGGTGGAGCAAGCAACACAGAAGGCACTCGCAGAATCAGAGTGAGTGCATTCGTGGGAGTTGGTGTTGCTGAAGCTAATCTCATTTAGCAGCAGTTAGCAGCAGCAGTTGCAGCAACGGATTTTGGGAATTCTTTAAAGGGACTCAGCAGGCACAAGCAGAAGCTGAGTGAATGCTTTTGCAGGAGTTGGTGTTGCTGAAGCCAAGTGTAACGTGCAGGCCTCAGAGGCAGAGGAGGTGGAGTGAGCAACGCAGCAGGCAATCGCAGAAACAGAGTGAGTGCTTTACTGGAGTTTGTTGCTCACGTGCTGGCAGAAGCAGCAGCAGCAGTTCCAGCAGCAGGCATGCGTAGTGTACCTTGAATCATAGTTGCACTTGATGTCACACTTTCCATCTTCCAAAGGCCATTGTGAACCAAAGAATCAATACCATCACTCTGTTCCTCCTCTTTCTTTTCCCCCATTTCCCCTCCTTCACTTTCATGCCCACTCTCCCCCTATCTTCACCTGAACCACTGCCTTTCACAGCACACAATGTGTGAAAGGGGCACAGGTCACACCGTTCGTGCTCAAGCGAATCAAGGAGCTCACAGGAGGGGCGTCACTCACTGCAAGTACGTTTTAGCCAGATGGGTCTGTATGTGTATACATGTATCCATGGGGTGTGAAAGGGGCACACCACAGGTCACCCCATTCGTTCTCAAGCGAATCAAGGAGCTCACAGGAGGGACATCACTCACTGTAAGTACGTTTTACCCAGATGCCTGCTTTTGAGGTGCCTCAAAAAGGTGTGAAGGTGAATAATGCCTCCTGACCTTTTCGTCGTCTTCTATTCCTTCCTCTTGCAGCCTTTCCCCCACCCCCCTGCACCACCCTTGTCTCCCACCAGACATAGCACTAGTGAAGAACGATGCCCGTGTGGGTGCCCAATTAGCCTGTGCTCCGGCACAAAGGAGAATGGCAGCAGTGTCAAGATTGTAGTGTAGATGCCAGTGCTGCAATTCCATTGTGAAATGCTTGCCGCACAAACATGCTGGCACGTTTTTGCTTGAAAACGAATGCAATTTTTCCAGTACCGGTACCACTGCATATACGGTAACGTGGAGTGCACATTGTATAAAGCCATAAATCCAGGAGGATGCAAACCATTTCTGCACTGGAATGGGCATGTGTTATACATCCGTTCATGTAACACATTGTAAGGTACATATGGTCATTAGTGTCCAGCTATCTCTAAAACGAAGTGCATTTTCATGCCATTAAGGACCTTTTCATCTTCCCTCTTGTACCCTTTGTAATGCATCCCTGAACCTTTTTAGATCGAGCGCATGAAACTTCTCGTTACGAATTTGTAAGCGGCTCATTCGGCAATTCCAAGGCTGAAAGTGAAGTTCCTGCCGCATTTCGACTAAGTCCAGTCCAGTGCCGCAATCGCAATTTTCATGATCATGCGATGAACAGCGGAGTTTAGTTTCTCCTGTACCACAGCATGGCGACAGTCTTGCGCGCAACGCCACTCGCTGGTCCGCTCAAACTCAGCAGCCGCTCATTCTGTCCGCGGAGCGGCTCAGTGAGCGTGTGCCATCGTGGCATAGTCCACGTCAGCGCGTGCCAGCGTGGCGTAGCTCGTGTCAGTGGGCTTGCACGGTCCCGTTCAGATGCCTCGTCGTACCGCGTCGCTCTTTCCGCGAATGATAGACTACATAAGGACCACATACCTAATCGACCAAGTAGATTAGAACTCTCAGCCAGTTCGTTGAAAGGTTGCGGAATCAGATGGAGCAGCAGCAACAGCGGCGCCAGCAGCAGCAGCTGCCGTGGCAGCCGGCGATTGGACGACGGCGTGAAACGGGCGGCTGGACGTGGGCCGGTTATCGCGGCGGCTCAACCGGGCGAAGAGCTAATGCACCGTATGTGGGTTGATACTGTCGCGTATATCGCTTTTGCAGTGACTTAGAAGTGAATATGACAGTTAAAAGTGAATTTGACGCATCCACACATCCGTTTGTCTTTCCCTCACTGTCACCCCCTTTCCCACATCTTCTCCCCGTCCCCATCTCCCCACTCTCCCATCTTTCCCCTCACACTTCGCATTCCAACCCCTCACCCTCTCTCCTCCCCTCTCGCCGCCTCTCACCCGTCTCCGCCCCCCTCTTCCCCCTCTCCTTTCCCCATTCTCCCCTCCCTCCCCTCGCTCCCCTCCCTCCTCCCATTCCTCCTTGTTTTGGTCGTTACAGAGTTCTACGAGATTCGACGAGAAGCAGAAACAGTTAAAGAGCAACTGGCAGCCATCAGAGCCACTGCTGACGTGCCACGTCAGCGTGCAGTCATTGCTGACCTGGAGCGTGACGTGGCAAGGGAGGACCTGTGGGAGGATCCAGCTCAGGCGCAGCAGCTGATGACTCAGCTTACGGAGCTGAAGGATGGCGTCCGGGAGGTTGAGGAATTCGCAGATAAGGTTGGGTTGGGTATGGGGAAGGAAGAAGGCATGGGGAACAAGGTATGCAGATAGGTAGGGCATGGCGAAGAAGGCAGGGAGCTTGCAAGCAAGGGAGGGTTTGTGGGAGAATCCCGCTCAGTCGCAGCAGCTGATGACTCAGCTGACGGAGCTCAAGGATGGCGTGAGAGAGGTTGAGGAATTTGCAGATAAGGTAGGGCAGAGAGTGTAAGGTAGGGCGGATAAGGTAGATAGGGGGGTTCATGTGCCATAAGGGGGGGGGATTGTGGACAGTGCTGACGCAGCTGACGCAGCTGAAGGATGGGGTCAGAGAGGTTGAGGAATTCGCAGATAAGGTATTGGAAAGAGGTGGTGTTTATGGCGAAAGAGGGCCTGGGGGTAGGGTAGCGAATAAGCTCTCTTAGTGGACGGAGAAGTCAAAGGAGGGGTCAGGCAGGTTGAGGTTGAGCGAGGTTGAATGTGGTTGAGGGAGGTTGCAGGAGGTGAGGGATGTTGAGGAGCTTGCAAACAAGATAGACAGACACTGTCCTCAACCTCCTATTTATTAGACAAGGCCTGCAAATAGCAATGGCTTTTTTTGCGAAGAAGAGGCATGGGGGTTGTGAATCAGATATGATGGTCATGGTGAAATGGGAGGGGGCATGGAAATGCTGATAAGGTCCGGTATTAGGTCCGGTATTAGGTCTGAACTTCCCACGAGCTCACCTGCAATCCGTGCAACACCAGCTTTGTTAATCTCTTCTTTGTCTGCTTCTCTCATTTTCCAACCCAGCTCGATGAGTATATATATATATATATATATATATATATATATATTTTTTTTAGTTGACTCATGTGGGATGACCTTTCTTCTGTTTGACTCCATTGGAGTTGATGATAATTCTCAACAGTTATCCATGTCTCATGTTATGGCTATTGAACATCGATTACTGGCTTTCATTTCTCCTGTAAAAACTCCTTGCACTTTCTGTACCGCACGTCATCACTTTGCACTCCCGCACCCACACTCTCCTCTTCCCCACACCACCACCACTAACAGGTGGAGGAGGTGTGCCTTATAGTGGAGCTGCTAGAAACGGAGCAGACACCAGACGCATCACTGGTGGAGGAAGCAAGGGAGGGGCTGCAGTGGGTGCGGGGGCACATGGAGAGATACGCCGTGGCTCAGCTGCTCTCAGGACAGTTCGACCGCAAGGGAGCCCGGTTAACTATTGCTGCTGGCGCTGGAGGGACCGATGCGCAGGTACGATGGAGTGTGGTGGAGTGCGGTGGGCTGCAGTGGGGTGCAGGGGCACATGGAGCGATACGCTGTGGCTCAGTTTCTGGCAGGGCGGTTTGACCGGAAGGGTGCACGGCTTACCATTGCTGCTGGGGCTGGGGGGATTGACGCCCAGGTGGGATGCGGTGGAGTGGGATGCGGTGGAGTGGGGTGCGGTGGGACGGGATGGTCAGGGGTGGGGTGAGAGCAGGCGGGACAGACGCCCGGGATGGGGAGAGATCGAAAAAGCACATGCTCTTGCTCTTGCTCTTGCTCTTGCTCTTGCTCTTGCTCTTGCTCTTGCGCATGTACATGTGGTGGGCGGACAGGCAGGGCTTTACGAGGCGCATGGTCCATGTTTGTGTATTTTCTTGTCCTTTTCTGTGTGTGAATCTTAAACAGCTTATCAGGACTGGGCAGACATGCTGCTGCACATGTACACACGGTGGGCGGCCAGGCGGGGCTTCACCAAGCCAGTTGCCTGAGCTGTCACTTTTCATCAATGTGCTCTTTCTCATCTGCGCATGTACATGTCTCACAACCCTCTCAGGACTGGGCGGACATGCTCTTACGCATGTACTCACGGTGGGCGGACAGGCGCGGCTTTAAGAAGCGAGTGGTGGAGCGGTCAGATGGGGAGGAGGCGGGGATCAAGAGTGCGACACTTGAAGTGGAGGGGCGGTATGCTTACGGGTATTTGAGTGGGGAAAAGGGCACCCACCGGCTTGTCAGACAGTCTCCGTTCAACGCCAAGGGGCTCAGACAGGTGGGCTTTTGTTGTATGTGCACGTGTACTTTTGAAAGCATGAAGGTAGGATGCGTATTGTACAAGTCATTTGTAGTGGAGCAGTCCGGTGGGGAGAGGCCGGTCAGGGGGCGGTCAGGGGGCGGTCAGGGGGCGGTCAGGGGGCGGTCAGGGGGCGGTCAGGGGGCAGTCAGGGGGCTCATCAGACAATCTCCGTTCAACGCCAAGGGGCTGAGACAGGTGGGTTGGTTGATGGGGAATGGGGCAGGATGCACAAGGGGGAGGGGCGGTATGCATTCGGGGACCTGAGGGGGGAGAAGGACACTCATAGGCTCGTCAGACAGTCTCCGTTCAACGCCAAGGGGCTGAGACAGGTGGGCTTTTTTTGTATGTGCACGTGCACCTTGGAAAGCATGAAGGTAGGGTGCGAATTGTACAGGTCATTTGTGGTTGGGCAGCCCGGTGGGGGAGGGCGGTCAGGGGGAGGTCAGGGGGCGGTCAGGGGGCGGTCAGCGGGATGTAGGTCTTCAATACTTTCCTCTTGCATTCTTACCCCTCTCATTCCCCCGCAGACGAGCTTCACAGGGGTGGAGGTTATGCTTCTGGTAGAGGAGGAGGTGATCAAGGTGGAGATTCCCGAGGATGACCTGGATGTGACTATAATGAGGGCGGGATGTGACAACACCGAACTTCTATGTTACCCCCTTCTTTTCACCCTGCTCTGTACCTCACAGACGAGTTTCGCGGGGGTGGAGGTGATGCCGTTGCTGGAGGAAGAGGCGATTAAGGTGGAGATTCCCGAGGATGACCTGGATGTGTCTACAATGAGGGCGGGCGGCAAGGGCGGGCAGAACGTGAACAAGGTGGAGACGGCAGTGCGCATGGTGCACGTGCCCACGGGGATCGCTGTCAAGTGCTCAGGTGGGGGGAAGAACAATGAGGTGTTGAGTGGTAACATGTTGTTCAAGTGGTGTCAATCGGTGACAAGGTGGAAACAGCAGTGCGCATGGTGCATGTGCCCACGGGAATCGCTGTCAAGTGCTCAGGTGGGTGATGAGCGGTGATGAGTGGTTAAGGTGCTGGCACACTGTGGCAAGGAGGCAAGGTGGAGACGGCAGTGCGCATGGTGCACGTGCCCACAGGGATCGCTGTCAAGTGCTCAGGTGGGTGAAGAGCGGTGACGAGTGGTTAGGTGCTCGCACACGGTGGCAAGGTGGCAAGGTGGAGACAGGTGTGCGCATGGTGCACGTGCCCACAGGCATTGCCGTCAAATGCTCAGGTGGGTCATGAGCGGTGATGAGTGGTGATAAGTGGTGATGAGTGGTTGCAATGCTACCGCCTGGTGCAGGTTCATGGTGCATCTGCCCACGGGGATTGCCGTCAAATGCTCAGATAGCAATCAATAGCCCCATGCTCCCACTGCCCCACTTTCTACCCAGCGTCCTTTCGATCCTCCTCACATAATAAGTCCTCTTTCAATTCGCTCCCCTAAACCTGTTCAGAGGAGCGGTCGCAGGCACAGAACAAGGCAAAGGCGCTCGCAATGCTCAAGGCAAAGCTGCTCATATTCCTGGAGGAGTAGAGTAGAGAGCAGCGGAGAGCATATTTTAGGCACCTTAAGTGCGCACACTGTGAACACGTGTATTGCGCAGTCAACAGCCGCATGCCCCACATACCACCCGTGATTGCTTCGTCACCACTCCTCACATTACGTTTCCTCTTTCCGTTTGTCATGTTCAGAGGAGCGGTCCCAGGCACAGAACAAGGCAAAGGCACTTGCAATGCTCAAGGCGAAGCTGCTCATTATTCTGGAGGAGCAGAGAGCGGCGGAGATCAGAGAAATCCGAGGAGACGTTGTGAAGGCGGAGTGGGGGCAGCAGATTCGGAACTACGTGCTGCATCCGTATAAGCTGGTGAAGGATTTGAGGACGGAATATGAGACGAGCGATGTCGGGGGTGTACTGGATGGTGATTTGGATGAGTTTATGGAGACTTATTTGCAGTGGAAGCAACAACAGCAGCAGAAGCAAGAGCAGGAGCAGCAACAGCAGCAGCACCTAGTTTGAAGTACGGTATTGGTGCTGGTGGTGTTGATTGCCTTGACGCAGAGCGTGATAAGATTGATTTTCTTGCCATTGCATGAATGTGATTGATGCGCCATTTATAATAACTCATCTACAGGAATAGTTCTCAAGCAACCTCATAAGGTGCATGATTTCCATCTTCCATATTTGATCAACTGTTACGGGTGCAATGAATTGAGGTAGCGAGGATTGCACTAGAGTGTTCAATGAGTACAAAATATGAGCGAAGGCATGAGCGAATACTTATACACAAAAATGTGCAAACGGAAATGCGGTGCGTGCAAGCTAGCTAATGCTACGCTGGCACAAGGTTCGGGCTAGTCCCGAAGCGTAGGCCGACTCGGCTGCTCCAGCCGTGCGAGGTTTGGTGAAACAGTGCGCGCGAAGTTGGCGAAGCCCCGTTAGTAGTAACGGGCGAACAACGGCTGCTGCTGTACGCGATGTGGACGGCCGCGGTAAGGAATAGCGAGAAAATTCCTTACACTAACCCCCCCCCCCCCCCCTCAAGAAGCCCCTTCCGCTACGCGAGTGCGTGTATATCGCGGAAACCCCAGCTCCTCAGGTACACTTGCATGGCAGTGTGGTTTTCGATGTTGGGCAAGGGCACCCAGCTATCCTCAGCAGGGCCTCAGATTCACTTTTAGGGTCGTATACCGTATTCTCCCGGACAAAACACCCCCCCATAATTGTACACCCCCGGGTAGCTTGTGCGGGGTGGGTGTTATGGGGAGCCTCGTTTCTACTATACCCCCCTTTTGGGCTGATTTTCTATAACACCCCCCCTTTTCTTACGAATTCGTTATAATAGTCGTTAACGAGTAGCTGCAATATTGAAGAATATCGCGAAAATTTCTCCCTAGATGAAATTTCGCGATACATTCACTTACAATCTACCGAGATTTCCCCCCTCGCACTACTTCGCTGTGACCACGTGCAGGCGAATCTTCCGCTGCAAGTGGCAAGAGAGGTGCCACATGGCATTTTCGTGGGGGTGATGAAGCTCGTGGCCGAAACCCACATTCGCGCCTCAGACAGTGATGTTAAAATGAAAATCAAAACACCCACATTGTCTAATTAAATAAACACTAACACTAAAATATACCATATGTAAAGACCCGGGTATTATGTATTTTTTTCCTATGAGGAGACCCCCCCCATTTTTTCCCTGTATTTTTAGCTATACCCTAGGGTGCTATGTCCGGGAGAATACGGTACCCTTCAGGGTCCCCTTGTGTGTAAACACTGATTGACAGTGTTCCTAAAAAAAAAAGCCTGAAATGACAGTGTTGTGCTAAAAAAGAGACTGATCCATCAGGGTTCCACTAGTAAAAAAGCTGAAACTATTATAAAGTCTTGATTTGAAATTCAGGAGTACAGTAGCTTCCTAGAAAAGAGCAGCTGCTCTTATCTAACAGGAGTCATGCATGTATCAGCATCGGAATCAGACTCATCATCACTCCCCTGCGCCTTTGGTTCTTCCCACTCCTTTCCCATGCCACTTCCCTCCCCCTCTCTTGCTGGAGGTGCTGCCACATTGCCAAATGGCCGGCGCTTCTTGTAGCTGCGCCAGATTTTCACCAGTTCGTTGTAGTCAGGCTCGTAGTCGAGGAGCGACATCGTGACGAGATCTTCAAGCCGAGCGTCTTTGAGGCTCCCACGCTGCCACGATTTGATGATATTCTGGCGGGAAAACCCGCGCTCACATTCCACTGTGCTCAGCGGCAGCACTGCGACAGCCACCCAGAGACGCACGAGGTTGGGGTAGCTAGTCGTCCAATCGCTTGTCTTCAGCATCGCTGTTAGCCTGGCGTGGAAGCTTCGCTCGTTCTTCGGGGCACCTGCGAGGATGGGGCAGAAGGCACGCAATTCTTTGATCGCCCGCCGTTTGTCGATCCCTGCCACACAAAACAGAAGGGAGATTGTCAGTTAGATTGGATGGCTTGGCATGGTATACCCGTGTATGCATGGCACTGTTGAAACATAGGAACAAAGAGAATCATGGACAACAAGGGTGCACAAAATGCGAGTACCTGGAAGGATGTGGTCAGTCTCCTGTGCCTTGAACAGCGAGACGAGTGACATGAGCCACTCGACACACTGTTTGTGGCACTCCGCTCTCCCAGGCGGGTACTCGTCTGGCATGAAGAGCCTCACTCCCACAAGGGAGTCCAAGTCTTCAAACCTCTTGCTGAGGTTACTGACGAGCGTCTCGGCAAATGAGGTGCAGAGATCGATGCAGGCGTCGTGTGTTCCCAGAGTTGGGTAGTCCTCGCTTGGGTTCTCATGCAGTTGGAACTTCTGTGTAGTCGGCCGACCGTCAGAGTCCACACCCTGCACCGTCACCTCGGGCTTGTCACTGTCAGGCCCGTACTTCATAATGAACGGGGACAGGCGCGTGCTCAACCCGCCTCCAAAATCGTCGCCGCAGTCGACGTAGCGGGTCTCCAGTTGAGACATGGTTCTCCTGATCTGCACATGGACACCTGCGATGTCAAGCTATGAGAGGGCGACAGAAATAACACAGAGGGACACAAGGAAAGCGAGCCGGGAGGGTGATTTATAAAAAAAATCAGTGTTGTACTTAAGCTCCCACAATATAAATGCATTGACATACACACACAGAAGCCACACATACAAGAACTAGACATCATGAGAAGTGCAGCACACGCTGAAAGGACTTGTTGCTCACCTCTCGCTGCTGGAAGGACTTGTTCAATATGTTCAGCTGCTCGAGCACGTCTGCAAGGAAGAACAACAAGAAATGGAACCTGTAGCTGGTGGCGAGCTCGTACAGAGTTTCGTCCCACTCAGACAGCATGACGATGAGCGCAGGGAAGACCGTCACCGTTCGCAGAACGGCATCACCCCTGGAGAGCCAGCGGACTTGATGAATGCCTGCCTTGAAGCTCCAGATTCGTAGCCGTGAACAGTTCCTGCAGCTCCAAAAATCGTTGGTGCCAGGGGCTGGAACGGCCGAGATACTCTGCGACTTGACGGATCAGCCCGTCCACCATGTCGAACTCGGGGATTGCCTCCGCTGCATCTTTTGCCACGAGGGCCTCCCTGCAGGCACATCACAACACAAACATGCAACACGGGGTATCAGCAAGGCCGAGATACGGATAATCAAGATTGGCGCTAGTACAAAAGCGAACGTACCTGTGGGCTATGCAGTGGCTTGAGACGAGATGTGGTATGCGGAGGCGCAGTCGAGCGACAAGACCATTCTTGCTTCCCATCATCACACTCGCGCCATCGGTGCTCATACCAGCAATCTTGGCAAGCTCGATGCCGAGGGCCTACAGGTGGGACACAAACACGTAGAGGAGAGAGGCGGCGTCGCACTTCTCCACGGTCAGAAGGGCAAGGTGTTAGAATAGTAGAGCCATAGCTAGGGTGTAAGCTAGGCAAGTGTCGAGAGAATTGAAGTGAGAGAGGAAAAAGGTGTTTCACTAAGAGAAGAAGGTACAAGATATAGGAGCGAGAGATGGCAAAGGGTGCACCACCTACAGGGACTAAAACAGTACTACACTAAAGCTATAACTATATGCAGTTATACAGAAATACATATAAAATATATTCTGACACAAGGAACTCAGTGACGACGCGATTCTCACGGATGAAGGTCGCGAAAATGATCATGTGCTTTCCCTGGTACCTGTCCGTGCTCTCGTCACATGTAACTCCGATGTAAGGACTTGTAAGGAGGTGCTGGATTTGCTTTGTGTGCAACCACGTGGCAATCGCTTGTGTTAGTTGCCCAAAGCCGTACCTGTGGAGCATGTGAGCCAATGTTAGTGCTAACACAAAAGGTAAACAAAAGCAACATCACGAACAATATCTGACAGCGGGTACTCACGTTGTGTAATAGGTTCCGTATCCCTTCGCAGGGAATCCCTGAACCTTCTTCGCCGCGAGATAGCGAACAAGATGCACCCATAACTCAATGGGTGCATCTTGCTTGGTTACGAAGAGCAGAGAGTCGCACAGCTCGATGACGCGTTCCTTCTCGGTGTCGCGAGCGAGGTTGTCACCGTTTATCCGTGGCTGCCGGCCAGCTTCAGCAAGAAGCTTTTCCTGGTGCTTGACTGCCTCTTTGTGCTTCGTTGTTGCAGCATGCCTCTTGAAGCCTGCGTCTGTACGTCTGAGGCGCCCCTCCCGCCCTTCCCGCACTTTCTAGCGTAACCTGCATGCTTGGTACAGATA